CGCTGCTGTAGAAGTGGACCGAGAACACTGAGACAGCAACAGATGGCAGTTACTCCCAGTGCTAGGGCCAACATCACCCTGGACCCACATGTTGAGGGTCAGACCGGTAGCCCCCACTAGCACCGACTGTAACAATCGGCTAGGGAAAAAGCCTAACTGGGCCGACTCTGTTGGAACCGGCCGGTCAGTAAGAGCCCTCACATCCAAACCTGTACCGCTGGCTAGCCCAGAGATATCTTAAATTACGAGGAGCACTTCCAAGTGTCTTTACAGCGACGTGAGAGGACTCCGTAGTAAAATGTCAGAGCTCCGATTCCTCCGTCCCGACCTCGTCCCGAACAACATAGTCCTGACGGAACCATGGTTATCGCCGGATATCAGCGATACTGACGTAAGGATAGATGACATGTTTTTTACGGGAGGGACCAAGAGCACAAGGACGGAGGGGGCTTGCAATATACATGAACGGTCGGTTCTAAAGTGAGCGAACTACTGACACTGTACCAACGGAGCTCTCAGACTCTATCTTGTGCAGCTCCACGGTCAGACACACTAAGTACCTAGTTGGAGGGGTCTATACGTCCCCTGATAGCAACGTGGAACACAACGAGAAGTTATTTTAAGTAATGCCCACAGTGTTGGCCGCGGGGCGTGACCAGATCCTAATGGCTGGCGACTTCAACGCTCCAACTGTAAGCCTAGAGCGAGGTGCCAAGACTCCGAGATAGAAGTTCGACTGTAACCTGCAAAATGCCATCAAGATGGCTGGACTGTCTGAAAAAATTAGCTGGTAAACAGTACGAACTGCATAACCTAATGAGTAGTGATCACCCTCCAGATGAAGGCTTCCAGGTGCAAGCCGCTCTTGGAGGCAGCGATTACGCAATGGTGGTATTCGACCAGGCAATCAGTGAACAGTAATCATGGTAGGGATCTCGCCCTTATCTCTGTTACAACAGCGCGAACTACGAAGGAATGAACCAACACTTATCACGGGGTCCATAGCCAGTGGATTGATGCCCCCCATCGGTTGTCCAACACTGAAAACGGGTAAGAGACGCCGTCGGGGCAGTGATCTCGTGAAACGTCCTCCTGGTGGTAACAACGCCCAGAAACCGGACCTCATGGCTAAAACGAGGCGTTGAGTACCTTATGAAGGCCAAGAGAAGGGCACAGTACGAGTGGAGGCTCTTCAAAGAAGAGGACGATCACGAAGCATGTATAGCTCTACGAAACCGCTCCAACATCAGAGTGCGGGGACACAGGAGGTCGTTCCAGTGGAGCTTGAAGTGAACTCCACAAACCCATACCAACTCATAGCAAGAGGGAAACTGACAAGTCGAGGAACATGAGTCTTAAAACGTCCGAATGCAGAAAACCTCTCTTGACAAGAGACTACCAGAACGTTAAGTGCCGCATCTGACACACAGCTCAACATTCCATCAGGAAAGTACGCATACCAACTGCCCGAACAGCTCCCAACGTTATCGGACGCTGCGGAGTTACATGAAGTGCAGATAACTCGTGCTGCTGTTCTCGACAAGCTGTCAAAGCAAAAAACGGAAAAATACCCATGGTGGAATGACATTCGCCCACCTGTGTTGAAAGAATGTGCGAGTACCCTAAGTGGCCCACCCTGCAGTCTCTTTCAACACTCCTTGGACGAGCAAAAACTCCTGCAAGAAACGAAACGGGCCGTCGTGTCTCCTATCTTCAAAGGAGGAGAAAGGCAGAATCCAAACCGTTAGAGACCCATAGCACCTCTACCAGTAATACCAAAAGTTATGGAGGGTGTTATAGATGACCGCACTAGGGAGTATCTGCAGACGAAGCAGGCACTGAGTGATGCCTAATGTGGCTTCCGAAAGGGCAGGTCCCGCGCCTTCAACCCCCTGACGACCCATGATCACTAAATAGCATGCTGGGGTCTCGTCGTCCCGGCACACGCAATTTTTCCGCATTTCGCCAAAGCCTTTAACACCGTCTCGCACACTATCCTAATACATAAAGTAGCTGGGTTAGATATCAGCGGCCAGTTGTCATCGTGGCCGCAGAACTGCTTAGAAAGCAAGGAGTTCCGCGTGGAAGTCAACGGGATCTAGTCAGCTTGGAGAACATGATCGTCCGGTGTCTCACAAGGACCAATCCTGGGCCCATTGTTGTTCCTGTTGTTCCTGAGTGACCTCCTACCGCATATCAGCCCTCCGACTCTCCTCTAGGCTGATGACATCAAGTTATGGAGGGTAGTAAACTACCACCCCACTTAGAGGTCCACAACGTCCTCGCTCTACCACAACTGAAAAGAAACACCAGACCACTAGGGAAAGTTCAGAGGTGGGCCGCAGAAGGTGTTGTTGGCGTGCAATAAAGGATAGACTGAAAGACTTGGCCAATACCCTCCCAACTGCCGACGTTACGAGGTGACTTGATAACGGCTTACAACATACTAAACAACCCAAGTCACCCGAACAGAGAATTACTACTAAGTGGCAGCTGTGGTGATCCCTGTGGAAACCCTGAGGGAATTCCCCAACAGGGGTCAAAAACTCATGTACGTTCACGCTTCTCCCCTCTAGTCTGTGGGCACTGGAACGCATCACCAGCGGAAATAGTCTCCACTCCATCTGCTGAAAGCTTCGAGAAAAGGCTGGAGGCTCAAGCGGAGGCCCATGGTCTACCCACATGTGGCTGGAATAAGAACTGGGCAAGAGAAGTTAACTGCTGTCAAGCCATTCCAACTATGCTGCCTCTACATCGGTTTTCTTTCTGTTGTAATCATTGAAGCCTTTTTCATCCCTCCCACATGCCCTGAATTAGCCTCACCTGACCAAGTTCTTCACATCTTTACACTCCTCCTCGCCTTACTTGAGTGTAAGTAGATCACTCCATCAGTTCATTTTTCTTTGCCTTTTGCTCACACAAATTCGCTTTTCTAGGTTTTCTCTTCACTATCACCAACCCTCTTTAGCTACCGGTCCGAGCAACTGTCTGGCAACTCGACACCTGGAGAACCCGACTGCACCACAGTCCCAGACAAACTAACCAACACTCAACCTCCTGTTCTACATACCGGAGCTTTAGCAAGCGAGTGGCTAGATCTACTGCTCTGGAATCTGTCAAAGACCTGGAACCGTTCCGCAAGATCGAGAAGCGAGCAAGAAGAAATTGCCTAGCCTACACAAGCTCACCGAACGGATATTGGACATTAGATGTTAGAGCCTGCATCAGGATGCGTGGTTTCGAACATGAGTAATTATTACTACCTATTCACTGTCCTTGGTGCCCTAAATACTGGAGGCTGGATTAAGAAATCGAATTTCCTTGGTGTTAGTGGTATGAGCTAATAGTTTTCAGGCTGGTGCAAATACTTGATTGTTTACGAGCATCGTTTATGGACGGAAGTGGACGAATGCCACCCATCTGACCTCACAGCCACGGTAAATGTGCGGAGAAATACACATTATACCTTTTGGGTTCTGTATATTTTTACATGAGTGTTCGCTGCTGAGGAGTTCTAATTTCAAATAAAGCAGCCATCTATTGCTAGTTGACTTGCCACCACCTTTTACTTCATGCGAATCCCCACTGGAACAGTTTCGGATGTAATTCAATGTGTTAATTAGCGCTACTTTGCAAGGTAGAAGCACCGACACGCGGCTGTGACTACTTGTCCACGCAAACAGCCGGAAGATTATCCTCTGCAAATATTTCTGCCCTTTGTTTTGTTGACGGCTAATAAGATGAACTCACAAATGTGTGACGCATTTTCAGGTAAAGTTTGTACGATTGTCATAGTATCAAGGTATAAAGAGGTCGAAATTATGGTGTTGGTAGTTAGGGTCAGCAATATGCTTTATTCATATGCTAATGCCTTGAACCTAGGACACCAAAATCGATAGTTGGTGCCTCAGTACCACTGGACATTTTATAATGTTCTTCGTTGTAGTTGCACCGAAGCTGAGTGAAGTATAAAAAGGTAACTAATAAACTGGATAGGAGTTGCAAGGGATTTTATTATCTCAGTGATACCATTTCAGGAATCGCCTGTAGGCAAACTTTACGGACACAGAGGAGAGTCACTAATTCTTCACACTTATGGATTACACACGATTGAGAAGCCGGGAAAGAAAACAAGAGGATGGGCAGGCAGGTATGTACAGGAAAAGAAGCATAACACGTCAACGTGCCGAATTGCAAAGATGCTTGACCACGTCCCTTCAACCTGGTCATTCCGTTAAGACTACGAAAGTCATCCCGAATGTTGGATCTCAACAGACCCTCAGCTGTTGACGTTAGCGGATTATATACAAGTGCATCATCCAGCCTTTCATATTAGAAGACTACTAGAAGCGTGAGGAGCGCCTATTGATCTTGTTTGGTGTTGAGTGCGATTATCTTTTTAGAAATGCAGCACAGATGACTATTTCGCCAGTATATATCTATTAACTATCGTGAGAACGAAAACGATCCTGAAGTTAATGGATTCCACTAAAAAGCACGTAGAAATTCGACATTATGGAATATACATGCTCTTCATCAGCCATAACTGCACCATAAGAATCCCTCGAAATGTCTACTCTGTTGCCCACTAGGGTTTTTTTAAGTAGTCGCAGGACATAAGCAACAGTATATGGTTGTTATAGAGCCGGAGTTATGGTTGGATTGGAGATAAATATCTACAGCTATTTTATACGAAAAACCGACTCACTACTACGGAATAAAAACTAAGTCTATACATCTTGGGGTCCGAAAAAGAAGTGACACCACCATGCTGCTTCAAAACATCCAACCATAAGAAGAATATGCTGCAACAAACTTTATGGTCGAAATACATGATCACGGGAGGTCTGTGCTAAGCATGTAAAAAATCACATTTGAGAAACCTTTTGTACTATTGTTAGTTGCTTTTTCAAAGTAATAGCTCAAAGACATGATATCATGATTTACCTTAGATTGTTTTATTGTTTCAAATGATTTTGAAACACGTGACATTTACCGATACACTTATAAAATTTGTACCGGTTTACCGGTCATCACTTGTCCACGCCTCGGTTTTGACTTCGTACTCATCAAAATGCAAGTCGAAAGTCTTAAAACCCTTCAAACGAAAATGAGAAATGATGAAAGAAACCACTCCCTGACGAAAAAGTACTTGACTGATGATATTGTCAACAAATATCAGTCAACGAAGACTGTCTTAGGTGGCACTCTCGCTCAGTGTGTAAATACAAGTAAGTTTATCACATATTCACAAATTGATGGATTATAGAACGCTTTTTGCCTGTCGCTTTGTAGTTTTCCAGGTGATTTTCCGCTAGTTTTGTTCAAACTAAGCTTAATATGAAGTGTGATAATCGGCTCGCATCCATTTTTAAGTTGTAGTTGTTTCGAAACTTAGTGCTTATAAGGGAAACCTATTCATCAGTTATGGGGTGATTTGGAAAGTTTCATCAGTGTTTTTATTTGAAAATGAACAATTTACTGAATACCTAAGTTTCTTTGTCTATACATTCCTAGTAGTTTGCTTCACCTGTTCATTTAATGCACTGTTTTTAATCAGCCTCTCATAAACTTTTGTGCAATTAATTCCTTATGTTTGCTGGGTCGAACGACCCTACATTTGACTGCCATTACGTACCAGTACCAGTTTATATACCGACTAATCAAGGTAGTTTTGGCGTGACTATAAGATTTGTATTGAGACGTTTGAAAACCAGTTGGCTTAAGTCAATCCTTTCGTTACTTTCCAGTTAACAAGATGTAAGCCTCACTCGAAGCACTTCTCATGTACCTGTAGGAACTAACTTGTGTGAATGGAGGGTAAGCGGCTCTGCAGTGTTCCCACGGTTTTCCCCTGTATAATCACAAATACCGATGAGAGAGCAGTAACAAGTCACTATCATAGGTAAAAACAAATGCCTCACTAGTAACGTCGTATGTCGGAGTAGCACTTCAATACTAGGTTCCAGCAGTGCGGCAAGTGTGGAGAATCGCATACTTAGTATGATGTAAATGTGCCACAAACAAACGGCTGATATTGCTATTTCCTGGTCTGTTTCAAAGCTAACTGTGACTAACGGTCGACTTATGCGTAATTATTTCTGAAGTTTTTTGCATCTGACCCGCTCAATTCACAGTTTTGAGTTTCGCTTTCATTTTAGATGCCCACAATCCTGGAGCTTTGTTACCAAGAGCATGCGATCTGAATGCATACGAAACTTTTAAGGATTTCTTTGATGCTGTTATTGCTGATTACCATAAGGTTTGTTTTTTTATTTCAGATTTTATCGTGTATTCGTATTTAAGTACCTCTTTTAAGTTACCTAATATCCTCATGTGTTTTAGGTTCCAGAGGGAAAAATACATCATCCTAAATCAAACTTTGGTGACATCAAAAGCTTATCATTTTCCGACCTGAACACCTACGGCAATCTAGTTGTATCCACCAGAGTACGTCTTGGCAGGACGGTCGAAGGATTTGGATTCGGTCCCACATTGACGAAAGAAACTCGAATTGAGTTAGAGAAAAAGGTGTGTTTTAGTTTAAAGTTTTTTTTATCAGCACTAAGCGAATAAAAGTTAGTACAAACTGAGCATTTACCTTTATGTTTTCCTCTACCATAGATCTCTACTGCCTTGAATAGTTTGACTGGTGAATACCAGGGTACTTATTACCCTTTGACTGGCATGAAGGAAGAAGACAGAATTAAACTGGTGAACGATCACTTTCTCTTCCGCAATGATGATAGGTATGTTGTGACTACACAGTGCTTACGGTCACCTTATTTGGTTTAAGGCATCAGAAAATGAACTCATGAAGTAAAATGTATGTTTACCGCATCATTATTGGTTCTACTGACGTATCTTCAATCTAAATGTAGGAACTCGAACTGATACACTTTTATGAGAGGTTCTATGTTGTCGTTTACCTGTACATATTCTTAGAGAATCATCCGAAGAAACAGTGAATATAAGATTTGCATAAACTGGAAAAAGACTTGAGAAATTGAGGGATAAGCATGCATCAAATTGTATTTTAGCATCTGGCAGTTTATCAAAGGGAACTGAATCTACTTTACTGACACCACTTTGCACACTTCGCTTAAGTCTTCTGTTCACTCTGTGTACCATACAGACTATGGTACTCATCTCTTATCACCTTTTCTAACTAAGCAACTGTTAAAATTGAAGGCCTAAATTGCCTATATTCATGATGAAAATTCAAACTATCCATTACTTTCGGCACAACTTTTGAGGCAAAAAAACATTTCCGACACTTAATTAAAGGTGTATTTTAAGACAATTCGGACATCATTATGGACTAAAGGTCATTTTTCTGCAGTTCTTTAAAATAACCAGTCATTTTATAAATTTGTATCGTATAGCGAAAGGAGAGAGTTTGGATAAGGACCAGTCTTATATATGTACTTGTCAGTGCCTTTTGAATGGTAGACAAATATGGAGTAGTCAGGTAAATCAGTTAAGGCAGTAGGTATATGATTAAAGGAACTGTGCCTGAATAAAATCGTTTTTAACATCATCTTATATAGTCAGGTTGACCATATTTGAGAAAAAAATCCATCTTGTAACATCTACCTCAACACTGTATAGAAGATGATTTCGTGTCACCTTGTTATATCTATGGATATGCGTGTGAAAACACTTCTACTTTGTCTTGTGAACCTTTCTGACCGTAACCGACTCACTTAATCTGAATATTCTAATTTGTTTTTTCGACTCTTCTGTCAAGAACGTTGACAGTGTTCAAAAATGATTTGAGTTCTGACCGAAGCGTGGAGGCGGTTGACGCTTTCTAGCTTCCTACTCTGTGAGACTACTTCTTGAGGTAACTAAGTATAGTGAAATAGTAAACAGGATATTAGGGAGTTATGTTTGTTTGTGAAGGTCAAAATCTACTTGGAACCGGTTGTTTACAACCTTACTGAAGGTTTTTCTTTCAGATTTTATCATGTCACTTTCGTACTTCAAGAAAGACTCCAACTTCTGGGACCTGAAGTCCATGAAGCGGAGAGGAGTGATCCGTTTTCAAGGCTCTTTTATAACCCTCATTCCAATGAAATGAAGGTAGCATCAACTTTTGATACTGGTCGTCCACAGGAAACACTGTTTTCACACTTCGTGTAGTTGATATTAAGACTGCACTACCAGACCTCTACCATAGCTAATATGATTAAAATTATGACGGCAACTGCTTTTGGTCTTCTTACTACCTGACAGACTGTTATGGCACATTAGGACCTCAGCAAAATCATCCGAGCTAGATACTGACACCTGACCACCATACTAAAGTGGCAGCTGTCTTTCTGGATATAGCTCTGTGAGAAGTCGGTGATATGGCTCAGATATAACCGCGCATTATTTTCATTTTAACAGTCAGATCTTTATTTTGTCTCCCCATCTTCTGTTCTTATGACTTTCTACCATCTTTGATTACATTATTTACCTTGTATCTTGATGTGGTGTCAGCAATACCGAGTCCCACGTTAAGTTTAACTGACTTTATCGCCTACAGGCGAAAGCATTATAGAGGCTATTCATAAGGCTTACCTGGAAACAGCTTTTAAATTGGTATATATAAATAAGGTGTCGGGAATGTATGTTGGACTTGTCCAAGCATCAGCTATACAAAAGCTCAAACTATCATAAGTATTCAAAAGCAACGTTTTTTTATTCTTTGATAGTCTTTATCTCAAATAAATATCGAGTTAGCGTGAAAATATGGTATCCTCACTTTGTCATTATTTTACTTTTGCACCTAATATCCTGACTGCTTTATCATCCCTAATTCTGTTCTCACTGGTAATTTCTTAGTAGAATCCGCTGAAAACTTACCTTAAGTCGCATTCTGATGCGTTTATTTTAAGTGTATTCAAAAGAGAAGTTCTAAAAGTTTGGTTAGGCAGTCAATGTTTTGCTTATCTTCCGTATTATTTTGCGTCCTGAGTATGCTTCAGAAGCGCGTTTTTCACCTCATACTTTCATGTTAATTTCTTGCATATTGCTTCAATTATTTGAAGGGGATAGTGTAATAGTGCCTATAAACCTGACTGGCTCATTTATCTCAAACTGTGCAGAATAATCTTTTCCACCCTAGGGAAAGTTGAAGTCATTTGTATATTACCTGTCTTAACTTATGCAACTTTACACTTAGGTGCTGAGTCATGAGCCACATCTTTCGTGTTAATTCTGATAATACTACCTGGATGTTGAAAATTTGTTAAACGGGGTGGAATCCGACCTGGCAAGCTATTGGTCAAGTGTCTACATAAATAAGTTTTCAATTCTTAGAACTTTACGCTTAGTCCGTGCTGCACACTGGTTTAGTTTTCTGCAACGTTCAACAGTTTTATCGAAAAATTACGTTTCTAATCTATTATCGAATATACTTAGTGTATTATATGGGATTTAAAACTTCTCCAAGTTTTATATTTCAGAATATAAGCAGATTTTAACAAATCCTCTGTCCTCTATCGATTCATTTTTCTTTGGTAATTTTATAGTGTCCTAAGAGACGCTGGTGGATACATTGATTGGCCAACTGGTCGTGGCATATTTATTAACAAGCAGAAGAACTTTTTGGTATGGATCAATGAGGAGGACCATATTCGTGTCATTTCAATGCAAAAGGGTGGAGATCTCATTGAAGTTTACAAGAGGCTAGCTGGCGTAAGCTTAACAGTGTCTATAGCAAATAGTACTTTTGATACGCATATCTGTTCATACCTTATAGTTTTCATTTCACCTAACGAACACAAAATGTATCTGTGTATCGAAGTAGACGTATATCAATGTAACCCCAGCAGCATTTCATGTATTGGTGTTCTGATTTCTCGAAGAGTGAGCTTTCGGTACAGACTGACAACTGACTTTCTCTTTGTTGTAATTTTATTTGGTGACTAGCAATGGAATACAAGACGCACGTTTCGCCTGGCTTGAGACTCAGTAGCTAGATGTACTTGCACCTCAGTGAATGATGGTGTTCCCATTGAGACTCAGTCCCCACACCAACCACTTCAAAACCCAAGGGGTTATCCGCCAAGCCACTGAGGCATGAGACCCGCGTCTTGTGCAACGGGTACCACTTATTATTTATTGACACTTATAATGTCTCGTTATTTTGCTGGATCAAATTGATCGACCTCTTCTATTTGTATTATAAATAACTACGTGATTCAAAGCACCAGTCACAGTCGTAGAGTGAGTGAGTAGTTTATGGATGTTCTCTATTGGCCTCAAATGGTTTCACATGGATAAGATGGAAAATAGGAGTGGTTATGATGGAAGCTACTTTACCTTCAGACTGACTAAAGCATCTCCGAAAATTGCTGCCATATAATGATACTCAAGTTGTGTCCCACTAACTTCAGTCATACAACCAAAGTTAAAATATACTTAGTCACCTACCTGTTCGTAGTGTATAATTCTAGAGCATTGGGTGAGGATTACAGTTAAGCAGACAGCATGATCAGATGCAAGCAGATCTATGACAGCTTAATACAATACCTGAGGGTTGACGAAGTGTTGGATGCTGACCGACAAGCGTTCTGGAACATGCTAGTTCTTCCTTTCTCACTCTCGGTCTAGGTGTTGTCTTTTATTTCCAGTTATCATTGGTATACAATACCAGAATTCGACAGCGAAAACTATATATATATATATATATATATATATATATATATATATATATATATATATATATATATATATATATATATATATATATATATATATGACTAAATAGATCATTTAAAAGAAGTTTTGAAGTTGACAAAAGTCGTCCACAAGAAGATTTCTCTTTTCTTTTTTTGATATAGTAACAGTTGTCATAGTTACATAGTTATATGTTTTACACTTGACTTCTATTTCACTCATTAAAGGCAATAGCTGAGTTGTCCAAATCCTTGAAATTCGCGTTCAGTGATCGTTTTGGTTTTATCACATTCTGTCCATCAAATTTAGGCACTACACTAAGGGCTAGTGTTCATGCCAAAGTACCAATGCTTGCCTCCTTGCCAAATTTCAAGGTAAGTTGAGATTCTACTTTGTTGTATGTGTATGTATGCATATGTAAGTAGAAATGTATTATAAAAAATTGTGTACTTGTGTATGTAAACCGTTTTTCTCACAATGAATTGTCATTGTCTATAACTGACCATGGTTGAACAAATTCATTGAAACTTAATAGGATTCATCATTTTTGATTGGTTATTGATTGATTATTTTTGGACGACTAAATGGATAAAAGATAATATCTAGTAGTTGGTGTATTTAAACTTCAGTCAACTGATGTCGTATATTTATTCATTATTGTTCATATAGGAAATCATTTGTCCTCATTGGCATCTACAATGATGCCACAGTTGATAGTTTTCCATGAGAATTGGAAACGTGCTCCTAACTGGAACGGATCATGTAAGCATTTGAACGGTGAGACATTTTACCAGAAATCGGACACAAACCCTGAATAAACAGTTATTGACCTATCGGTCGATAAAGAGGCTTTAAAGATGAGCCTGTGGAGGGATCATTCATTGTCACTCCTCAGGAGTCCCTAAAATTGTAAGACTGTTATCTACCTCTATTTTTATTGTTTTTCCTTTAGCTTTTCCCCAAGTAAAACTAACTACTTATTATGATCAGCATTTACAAGTAAACATTTTATATCCATTCAAAGATACAACTCAGAAACTATTGAATACTCTTCTAACTCTATACTTCAGAGATAACTAGTTTAAGAAGTGAGCATGGTTTGTGGGATACTGTGTATGTCTTTAGGATAAAAAATCGCTTGTTTGTGATGGAAAAATCTCTAGGTGGGATGAATGTAAGGACGACAACCTAAGCCATTCACTTGTTGTGCTTCAAATGAGTCTTTTATTAAACAGTAGCAAACTATCTCGACATAAAGGGTTAAAGTGTCATCAAAAAACTGCATTTTTAACCGTGCATCTCAATTTTATCCTTCACCTCGAAAGGGGCTTACTGTAAAGTTTAACCTATCGGGTCAGGTGCTTTAAATCATAAGTTTCATGAGGAAAAATAAGTGTTTATGTCATTCTAGAGCCAACATTATCATCTGGTTGTCTGAATATAAAAAGAGAACTAGTCTCTTTTAAAACCTATACCTTGTTTGAGAGCTGAAGGCATACTTTATGAAACCAATGTCTTACTATTCAACAATTCAGTGTATTCTAAATATGTGTCTATCTTTTTAATATGTAGTCATCTGCTACTTTTAACGGTTTTCCCGCTACTGACATGACTCAATATCCAGTGTCATGTCTTCAAGGTTGGAAACATTCATAACAATCGTTATACGAGAGTTAAGCAAGTAGATTTCATGCTTCAGATTTGACATCTTTCCCTAGCAACTTTGAGTCCTCTTCTTTTTTCGTTACATAAATATCAAACTTGACTTTCAGTACTAACTTTCTTTTTTATCAAAAAAATTTAAAATGTGTAGGAAATCTGTGAAAAACATGGCATTCAAGCTCGTGGTACTCATGGTGAGCATACAGAATCAGTTGGTGGTATTTATGATCTGAGTAATAAACGGCGTCTTGGTCTTACCGAACTTGATGCTGTCACTGAAATGCATTCCGGTGTTCGTGCTTTACTTGAACTTGAAGTTATGTTACAAGAATATAATAAAGGTGCACCAGGTAATTATCCCATCTAATATGATACAGTTGTAAATCCTATGCGTTTCTAGTTATTGGTTTTTGTTATAAGAATGGGAAGAGTAAAATTGAAATGCAATTTCTCAGTCTTACACAGGTGTCTGTGACGAATATAGTTGACGAAGATTGAATAAAGCATACAACAATTGATCTTAAAGAGCTGTTGAATTTTATATCAGTTCAGGATATGAAAATCAACAGGTGGAATAATGTTAAAATGAACTGAGTGCTAAAGTCATCTATCTGATCTTATGATCCAGTAAAAATAAGTTATTCATTTAGCTTCTTTTAGTAGACAACGTTTAATGATCCCAATTAATAACGCTTTTCTCTTATTCATTGTAAATGCTTACAGAGGGTGTTATGCCAGTTGAACCTTTAACATACTTGGCCAAGCTTCTGGAAGGTGCTCCAATCGAAAAGTGTTATACTCGCAAGTGTTTGACTCCTGAAATCATTAAGAAGTATGATGGAAAACGGACCACTCACGGTGCTACTTTAGCACACATGATACGTAACTGTGAGTTATCTGTATTCAATTAATTTTATCTGTGATAAATGTCGACTAAATAACTTCTTTGATGCAAACCGACTTCACATGAAGACATGGTCAGTGAATAAACAAACTGGTTTTATTGACCTGGTTCGCGAGATTGTCGTATGGTATCGTTGTTGAAGGTGGATTTCTTTGAGACATTGTATCGAAATAAGCTAATTATTAGTGTTGTGATTTCTTAGTTTAGTAAATAATACTGTTTTACTATGTGCTGCATCTAGTAAATCAACTGAAATGGAATTAATTCCTGATGCATTGTGCAATTCTTACTCATTACTTACTTATTACTTGGATCCTTGCACTTATCTTCTGCATTCATCATCCAATAATCTTACTACTTGTAGACAGTACTCCAAACTTAGCGATGACAACTTAGTGATTTATCTCAACAGTTTTTATCACAAATTAATATCGTCTAAATGGCCATTAAAAACCAGGAATTCGTGGTGAAAACTTCACTGAAATCGGTCAATTTAGCATAAACTCGTTGCTCCCTTCCCATTTCAATTAATATTATTCCCTTTTAAACGGATCTTTTTGTCTTAGACAAATTTAGGCATTTCAATTCGATGACGAAATTCATGCACACGCTAGTGATGTGATGTTAGTTTTCGTTTATATTTGACCTTTAACCTAGCTTTGTTATTTGACCTTTTGTCACACTGACCCCAGTCTACTATTCACTTTAACATGGTCAAGTCGTTCAGACTATTTCATGTGAATGCGTTTCACACTTAAAATGTTTTCAGTGCCGTTATTGTCACCAAGAGATTTTAGTCTTGTTTTCCTTTACTCTTTATGAATGAAGCAGCTATGATTGATGCTGACAAAATTCTGAGTCTTTTGAATGCTTTGGTTGGTAGATTCTCACCCCATTAGTGTGGTTCTTTCATTCTTTTTTCAGGTGCATACAATCATCGTTCAATATGTCCACGAACTGGTGAAGCCGAATGCTATTCGACATTTGTGGACTATTTAGATCCATTGATCTGTGCTTATCACAATGTTAAAGATCCTGCGTTTAAACATCCTGCACCAACGTTTGGTGATTTGGCAAAACTTCCATTTGGTGATCTTGATCCATCTGGTAGGTAACGATTTAGTCATTTACAGCTATATTAACTCACTTTATTGAGTGTTATCAGCAAGCAGAATGTTTTCGCCTAACTGGGACTGATCACCATTTCTCCGTAGAGCGTAAACTGTTAATGTTTCATACTATTTATTCTGTTGATAGCTATTAGTTACAAGCAGCCACATCAAGTTGATATGGGAGCGAAATTATGTTACCATCCGTTCTTCCTATTGCCGGTGAGGTGAGATTATCTCAGTATAGAGAGAAACAATTTTCAAATCGTCTCGTTTTAGACAAAATCGCAAATGTGGAATGCCTGTAGACTAAAGCGTGAACATGTGAACCCTACTTCTTATCAGTGCTAAAGGATTTTATAATTCTTAGATAGCTGATTGTTGAGAATTTCGCTGTCTGTACTTACAAAGACCGTTCACAAATGAGAAGAAACAGATCGAATCCAGTGCAAGTATATCGTTCCATCTTCCCCCACTTAGTGCCCTGTGTAGACTTCTCTAAGGTCATGTATTTCCATAACGCTCATCTTTATGAATTTCCTGGTGGCATTAGTAAACGTACTTCTCTTACAAGTGCATTTTTAGATGGTTTAGTCGAATTACCGGGCTTGAGAGGTTAACTGGAGTAACAAAATTAACCTAATATTATCTGAAGAGATGTGGACAGTGAGTAATCACCAAACTGTCTCATTCTAGTAGGGATTCTATCATTAGTTTGTATCTTCCTGTATTAGGATAGACTTTAAGAGCTACACGACTCCCAATGACAACTTTCTCTTCTATTCAATTGGTTGTAATAGCATGTTAGGGTGTTAAAAAACTTCAATTTAGGGTGAGACAGTTACCAATTAGTCCATAATTTTCACCCACTGTCTTAGACACCAGTGAGATATGTTCTACTAATTTTCTGGTTTCTCTATTCCCGTTTATTTGTGCTACTCTTCTTCAGGTAAGTATATCGTGTCTACACGTGTCCGTGTTGGTCGCAGTGTTGAAGGATTCTTATTCCCGACTATTATGGGCAAAGATGACCGTATAAAATTAGAACAAGTTATTTCTGGTGCACTGAAAGGACTTACCGGTGAACACGCTGGAACTTATTACCCTCTAACAAATATGAAAGAAGAAGATAGAAAACAACTGGTTGAAGATCATTTCTTATTTAAAAACGATGATCCGTAAGTTTTTTTAATTTTACAATTGTTGATTTACTCTTAGTTTGGTTTGGTCAGCTAGATAAACATTCACTACAATGAATGATCATAACGCTAGAGACTCGTATCAATCCCTTCAAACACTGAAACGTGACTAACTAAGCTACTGATCTATAATAACTTTTTCTAGTGACAAACTTGTTATTCATGAGTAAAGTTACTTAACTCTCTTCGCTGTTGGTTTACGTGACTGGATCGTCGACTCCCCTAACACACAAGCTGTTTCGCTGGATACAGTTTAGCGGATGAATAACGTGAAATATTAGTTCAGAATAATGAATAATAACTACTACACAGTATGTGACTATTGTAGCTCAGCCCAGTAGATAGCTGTCTAGCATTTGAATCCATGATCCATTACTGGACGTAAGTCAAGTCCCCAAATCAATCACTCACAGCTTGCGAATCAATAAACACTTAAATCAGGTGACTACGTGTTACAACACACTACCATGCATATATATCTACCTTTCCAGCTCTCGACAACGTTAAAGCTCTGGTACCATCGCTAACTACGACATTCAGTAAAGCGGGTTCGGACCTCTGAAGGTTCATCAGTTCCTTACTAACCACTGTCAACAAGCACGAAGTTTATGTCAAGCACGGCTTCTTGCCTATTGCTTCCAATCATCTATCAAAGTACACTACAATGGTGAGTCTCCCAGCTCGGTGATCATATTACAGAAATAATCGATAGGATTCGGTTAGAACTTAACATTAGATAACATGAAGTTGACTGCTTTCTACTGGCCGATCAATGTAATTTTTGAACTTTTTGATTATCCGCAACCATACCCTTTATTATGATTACCAAAGGTATTATCCCAATGCGACATATGCTGACAATTGAGGATTATTTTAATCCTGTAAGTCGATAACAGTTGAAAGAATTCCTAATCGTATACAAAAATGTATTTATCTAGACTCGGGGAACTGTCTATTCGCATGCTATTCGGTATAATAGATCTTGGTCTCCCGAATATGCGTATAGTGTATGTAGGATAACAGAAGAAACAAAGGTAGTGTACACAAAGCCTGTTTATGAACTGTGTTGGAGTCGTTTTCTGTTTTCTTCAGAGTAAATCATTAAAAAAAGAACAAGTTAGAAGTTTGTACATAGAAGCATCATATTTAAAGTACAAAATATGCAAGGTAGCATCTGTTGACGATAGCATTAAAATTACTCACCGTAACTCAGATTTGATCAAATTTATAACTTTTGGGCATGTTCCTCCTCTACTCCTTTTCAGTGTTTTACGTGATGCTGGTGGTTATCGTGACTGGCCTGTTGGACGTGGAATTTTCCATAATAACGCTAAAACTTTCCTTGTTTGGGTTTGTGAAGAAGATCATATGCGCATTATTTCAATGCAGAAAGGTGGAGATCTGGCTGCCGTTTACAAGCGTCTGATTGAAGTTAGTCAAAGTCAGTTTTAAAAGTTGTGTGTTTTTTGGAGCACTTGTGAATAATTATTAAAAGTAAATTCAACTACTATATTTCGTGTCTCATTAAACCTGACTAGCGTGACGATCAACTTTTAAAACTCAACACTGATTCCTATGGTTTATGCAGTTGAATGGTATACTCCCTTTCCAAACAATGGATGTACGTCTAATCTGAATGCCAAAGTTTGAACATTATTGAACAGGGAGATTTATTTCTTAGCTAAGAGGATTACAAGTTTGTGAGGTATGAACGAACTTTATTTCTAAAAAAGCCTTTATACACGCTCTCGCTAAACAACTATGGACACTAAGTAAACGACAACATATTGGATATTTAGGCAACATCAAGGCATTCACTTAGGAGTCTGTTAGCCAACAGAGATTAGTCAACTCAACCCAGTTTAATAACAGGAAATTACAAGTGTCAATAAATAATAATTGACACATGTTGCTCAAAAGGTGGGTCTCATGCTTCAGTGGCCTAATGGATAACGCTTTGGGGTTTGAAGTGATAGATTGGAGTGTTGAATCTCAGTGGGAACACTACTCACTGGGATGAAAGTACATCCAGCTGATACGTCTCAAATAGGACGAAACACGCGTTCTGAATTCCACTACTAGCCATCAAATAAAGTGCAATGTAGTGGGAGTGATATAATCCAAATTTACTATAGAAAACTAGTTTAAATGTTTACATATATACATTGGAGCCCAGTGTAAATGGTCATTCATTGCTGGGTTTTTTCTACCGAATGTTATTATCAAGTAAATAAACTGTAACTTCGACCAACTGAATGGTAATTCATTAAGGAACTAAAATCCCGACTTTATGATCCATGGACTCTGCCATTGGGTCATTTATTCGAAACCTTTTTGATCCAACGATCTTCATGTGGCTAACTGATATCTCTATTCCTGTTGTTAGGATGCGACTTAACACATATGACCATTGACTGACAGTTGTAATGGTGGTTGGATGAACCACAGCTCCACATTGTTAGCTAATGATATGCTAAGGTTACTGAGTGACCAATGAATTAGGTTGAATTCGTGGTCACCCTATCATCGGTCCAGTGTTTTCTCCCTAAATTTCACAATTTAAATCTCTAGCTCATTTTTGTGGTAGACCGGAAAATCGTGTTATTAGTTGCAGCTAAAAATATGCTATACTCACTGGATTTTTTAGTCAAGAAGGACTCGTTAATAATTCTTATCATTGATATTTTATCATCCCATATTCTTTCTACCAACTTTAAACAGGGAATTAATGCCATTGGAAAAAGCATGAAATTCGCACACAGTGATAAATACGGATATATTACTTGTTGCCCATCTAATTTGGGCACATCAATGCGTGCTAGTGTCTTGCTGAAGATACCAAAGCTTAGTGCTCAACAAAAGAAATTGGATGAAGTTTGCGCAAAATATATGCTTCAGGCTAGAGGTAAACTTATTTTCTGTACTAATGTATTTCTCAGTACTTCTGTTTGTTAAATTGTTCACATTATCAAGTAGTAAATTTCATGTGGATCAAAATTTCAAATGGAACACTAGTGGGTAGACGAAAATCTAGAAAATTTTGTTTTATACGTATCACTGCATAAAAGAACATTGTCCTTGCCAGTCGGAAATAGTTGTTCGAGGTCTATTTGAGAACTATTTTCGCCAACACTGATCAACCTATTTGACATTATTCGTCCCATATTAGATTTACTTATTTTGATAGATGATATAGCGTGATATATAGAGTGTTATTTACTTGACAACGTTTCGAGTATAAATTATTTCCCATAATCATATCAATGAAATGTCAAAAGCTTTGATTGATATGATTATAAGGAATAATTTATGCTCGAAATGTCATCAAGTAAATAATACTGTAACACTGTGCGCTATATATCAAATAAACAAATCTAATGTGGAATTACATTCTACTAAACAACCCAAGTATTACACTTGTATTAATGAGAGATTAGTTGAACAGTCACATAGGTGTGCATTATGGAAGTACATATTGCCTCATATTCTAAAGGATCTGAAATATGAGTTGGTTTGAAGCATTAAAACTGTTCTGTTAGTATATATTGAATTGTAAAGTGATATGGTACAGCTCAATTTTTGAATTTATTGCGAAGTTGTTTATTATCTTCGTAATATATTAGCAGTTTTTGAGACCATTGAACTTAATTATATCAGACAGGCAGAAAAAATCAACTAAGAAAACTTCACACACAAATGCCACATTTCACAGTACTATACAAAGAACAGATGGATAGAAAAAGACTGATATCACAAAGTTATGTGAGAGAATAAACAATCTGAAGATAGAAGTCAATTAAAATATTCATGTTTTAGAAGACATCAAGGAGTGAGCAAGTTCCAGTTATTTCGCCAAGAGTCCTCAACCACTGATTTCTGTCGTCTCGGGGACCCAAGTCAGGTAGTCTACATCCTCAGGTCAACAATAAGACACTTCATCGACTGGTGCTAGGTCTTGGTCTGGCCACCCTGAACCCTCTTTCAACCTAATTCAACTTCACCTACCATGTCACGTCGAGGCAGGCGTTGATTTGGCATGCAAAGTACATATCTAAGCCATCTCACCCGACTAAGGTTAATAATCTCACCAGTCGACTTGCCTGTCTTGCCTAGTACCATTCGCCTGACCTCAACAGTGCTCACAGGGTGATTCCACCAAACGCGAGCAATGCTACGAAGACATCTGTGATCAAAACCCCATAAGCGCTTCATGTGTTCTACTTTCGACGGTGTGTCTTACAACCATATAACAGGAATGAACGGACTGAAGCGCAGCATACTCATCCTTTGGTAGATATTCGGATATCTCACCAGTCGGCGCCGCAGGTGATGCAAGTTAGCAAATACCAAACGGACTTTCTGTATCTCAGCTGAGACTTCATCAGCAACCAGGCCGTTCAGGTTAATGCAACTCCTCAGGTAAGTGGAGTGGTCAACACATTTCACCACTTCACTTCCTACCATTAAACTGGGAGTGGTTGCAGACCGGTCCCGGAGAATCATTTTACAATTGACAGGTGCATAACGCGTGCCAAGTATGCTCAGATTTCACTATCAATTAAAATCCTATTTGTACCACTTACTGCAACCGACTAAACATTTTAACAAAATTATCGTATTGTTGCATGGGTTTAATATTTTCATCACTACCAAATTGTCATCTTTTTGTTAGAAATTCTTAAAATTCTTCAAACCTCTTTTATTATAATCATTATTTTTAACATGACGATATACATTTTCGTTTGTATCGACTAGTTTCCGTTGATGTTATATCATGGCTAGAAATATGATTTCCGTTTAAAATTACTTATAACTGAATAGTAACTCATATAATTGACCGGTTCTTATTACAATTTGATTGACCATGGAATGGATTTTCGCTAATAAACTAAATGGTACTTGTTAGTTGACAACAGAACAATATGCAAGAAGTCATCGGCATATGGGTTTTGTGTTTACCAGCACTTATCAGCGAAGTATGTGTAAAACGCTTAGAAATGTCATCAAATTCCTGAGTCAAGTCTGTCCCAAATAACCTGTTGAACTTGTTACTACTTCCTTCTTCACAACGTTTGCTTATACGCACTGACTAGTCACCATATATTAAGGTAATCTCCCGATTCTTAGTTCTGAATAATAGTAATATTAAAACAACCTAGTACAGATGTACGTACTACCTGGTTACCCAAAACAGAGTATGTAGAACAGTATTGGAACTTGGAACCGATTGCCTTAAGAGTCAAATGCCTAAGCCAAAAAACCATATCTCCGTCTTTAGTGCTAGTCAAATCCAGTGGAAGAAAAAATGCCTAATAGTTGACGAAGTGACTAGTACGGCGGTGTGTATTCAGGCAAAACATTCGTGTGTAAACGCCTGGCATGAAATATACTTCCTTATTACGTTTTAACACAGAAAAATACTCGGTTCTCTACCCTATAAAGTTACGTACTTGATAGCTTCATGAGACGAGTTATTCTTCAATCTCAGTAAGAGATTTTACCTTTTTTTTCTCTCATTTAATAGGTCTTTATGGAGAACATACAGAATCACCTGATGGGACATATGATATCAGTAATAAGCGTCGTCTTGGCTTAACAGAATTGCAAGCTGCTCAAGAAATGGCTGAAGGTGTCGCCAAAATGATAGAAATCGAGAAAGGATTATAATAACTGACAATGAAGCATTTTAAACAAGTTCTGTTAGATAAAATAATCCATGTACTACCTTTCTCTCTCTTACCGTAACCTATTTTTTTTCTTTCGTTTAGATGTTTACAACTCTGTCTGTCTAAGCGTAGTTTATTTAATTTATAGAATAAATTTAATGACAAGTGTGTATATTGATTTTACTACTGTTCGGTTATAACAGCTTATTGACCTTGTTCAACTAATACGATATACGTTAGGCACTTGTATACTAGGTTTAAACTTAACGGTTACGCTGAATAAATAGTGTAGAATTGGTATCATTAAGTGGAAACTAGAAAGTTAAAAGTTCTAGACTATACGGTCTTCATTATTGACTGAATTCTGTCGATCAAGTTTGCAACGAGCTTAGTGATATTGCTACAACCTATATTTGGTGTTTGTTGCTCAGCTGAAACAATCTACAGAAAGCTATGTTCGCTGTGGCTTGAATGCTTGTTAGTGTTGGGACTTTGATTCCATGAGAATATATTAGGCTGAATGTGTGAGATATGACCAGAAAGAATCTGACTAAAGTAGAGCTACTTTTTCAGTTCTCACGAGTACATGACTTGGAAGAGAACATACTTATGCAGCTGTCGTCATCATGAAGAGCAACATAGGGCTAGACATTACTGCGTAACGGTCCAAGTTGCTACATCTCATCAGCATATCGAGTAACAAGGTACTAAAATGGAAAGTGGAAAAAGAAAGAACTATCGGTCGAAAGTAGTAAATGAGGAAGGAGGAGTGAGAAAATGATGAGATTAAGTATGGCGGTTAAGGTGCACATACATCTGTGCCACAACGGTTCTGAGCCATATCACTGTACCATTCAGTGCATAGGCGACTGTCAACCGGGATCCAGTTTAGTAATGATCTTTCTGCCCTAGTGCTTAGTGCTGTGCATACACCTGCTAGACCGCGAGAACTAGCCATCGAATGCATAGAAACCTGAAGGGTGAATCTTGTGGATTCATCACATTGACCGGGAGAGGTTAAGTGAATAACAGTACTCGGGTCCTGTATACGTGTCTCACAAACACAGCACACATTCATGACACGAGTAGTTAGAGTTTTGACCCACTTGATGGAGGGTGCGGACATTGAAAGCTTTAGTGTGTAATTTGGAGCATAGTTTGAGGAGATCAGTGGTGTTGTTTTGTGGACTCAGATCGTTGTTGAAGGCTACAGAGGTAGAAGAAGTTGGATGTGATGTAGGATTGTTAACTGAAAGAAGTGAAGGCAGATTCAAAGGTAAGGATGAGAAAGGTGGATAGCGGTTTGAGGGAACTTCAGCGCTAACAGAGTTGTGAGGGTGGCTGACACTTCCCGGCTGCCCACACCATGGAAGGCTGTCTTCTTGAAGTACCTGGAAAAGAAGGGATAGTGTGCGAATTCAGAGGTCAAAGGACATCCATTCGAGGCCGTTCACGTATGACTTTTTTGATGCTATGAAAATTGGCCTGTATTATGAAAGATGTAGTCGGACACACGTCCTGTGGTTTTGGATCACCACAGGCCACTGACGACTGATCTAAGTATAATGCATCGTTTCTTTGTTTAAGAACATGTTAAGGGTAAGTGCTTTTTCCCTAACCACTATCAAACAGACCTTACTGGTATGGTAGAACCTCAAGGAAGCAAACTTTCCATCAACATAGCTCGTTTGATCATTATGATATACAAGACCGAGGTAGCAGCTTCGGTCAGGGTGTGTTGCTACAACTGAATTAGTCTGACTGAGTTGAACTATTAGACATATTACAGTAAGATAACATAAGAGTTGAAATCTACATTACATTTATGTTCTGCCGATGATTTTCAAGAGATGAGTTTGTGCATTAAATCATAAAAGAGAACTTCAGAGAACAAGTGATTCCGTGTTAGCGGATATCGACTAATCATTTCTGTGAATGATGACTTATTTCATGGACTGGTGCCATGTCTTAGTTTTGTAGCATCTAATATTTGTACTGGGTGATGATTGAGGATGAGCTGAAAATCTAGACCGTGGCCGGATTCGAACCAGCGATCACAGGTTCGAATCCAGCCACGGTCTAGATTTTAATCTCATCTTCAATCATCAACAAGTACAAATACCAGTCTGCCAAACAACGGCTATCTCAGATAGTCAAATGATAATTAATACCTAAATAGCTTTTCATCTTGTCTAAAGACTAATCAAGAATGCATTTGGAGATATACAGTGTTTGACTACATGCATGCTAATCAGTATAGTAAATATTTTTACAAATCGTTGAATCCGTACTTACCACCTGGATGTATTCTATCAATAGAAATGTAGCATTCAAGAAAAATGTCTTTGTCATGGTATGCACTGAATGCTTCATGAAAATGCTAGATAACGCTAGCCTATATCTATTACCAGTTGTCCTATCAAACAAGGAAATAGTGGAGCTGTGGCTTATTAGTTTAGGCAGTTGACTTCCAATTGATGGGTTATGGGTTCGAACTCAGCCCCACCTACCAAAATCTGGTGCACCGGGTAGTATCGTTAGCCCTCACAATAGGTGTGGCTTATTGCCTATCGGATGAATGTGCACAATGTTGATGATTTCATTTTATTTTGCTTTCATTTCAGTGTTCAGCTAGCTGCCTACCAAATGAAAGCATGCAAACGCAACGTTTGGTTTCTTTTTTACAGCTGACTTTGTCTCTGATATCAGTAAAATATATGCCACTTACTAAATGTTGAGGTCGCATTTATTCCTCGTGAGCATGGTCACTAGGAGAAGACTATACTTACTTGACTACTGACTTTCAAAACACTGTTACCTAGCTAGTGAACAATGTAGAAGCTCTAATGAGGTTGTGGACCTATGTTCAAGGGATTGGTTTAAAACAAAGTAATACACATGTGCATTCATTGCCTACTTTAAGCCTACTCAATCTCATTCTACTGCACTTCAATTGGTAAGCCCTCATGATGTATATCATTAAACCGAATAATGTTTAGATTACGTTAACTACTTACACTTGACATTTTGCAGATTGAATATATTTCCTTAGAATGTTTAACTGCAGACTAAATTACTATTATAAGTCAATATGAACAAGGAATATTCTGTCATAAATTTTCTTTAGATTTTGCTTATCATTATAAAAGCTAAGTTTAGAATTAGTGTTGGGACGACATGTGTATTTATAAAAAGTGGTACTGAATTGAATATGGTATTAATTGTCTCAATTCGTGAGGAATCGAGCCTAAGGCCGTGGATATGTACAGCCAAAAAGTCCTATACTAGGACGTAACAGCTTTCTTGGGCTCCTAAGTTTACAACCGTTCTCCAATTGATGTCAATCCGTTAATAACGCTGTCAAACTAGCGATGAATGATCATAAGTGTAAGCAACATTACGGGATGGATATAACAGAGCATAACATAGTTCAAGGTTATTGTGTGTGTTCGGTAGGTAGTCACATGATACAAAAACTGATTTGAATGAGATGAGAGATAATGAACTGTTAGTGATAACAAAGTACATGTACAAAACGACCAAATAGCGTCATACTTCGGGTAATATTCAAGGCAAGTTGAAATGGTGAAGAAACAGTCCTAGGTCTATTAGAAAGAACAAGGTTAAAATTATGTCAAAAAAAAGGGAAGTGAGAATAAACTTAGAGATGAAGAAAGTAGAATTTAGTCTATGGTAGGAGTAACGCCTGAGTTAGTTTCTTCGGAATGCAAAATTCTGATTTGATAGGTCTCTTTGTTACACCCTTAGATGTGTGAAGATGTGAATAGCTTTTTACGTATTAGGGAGTTTTGGAACACAATATATTGCAGTGGTATCTACGTGGAGTCATTTGTCTACGAGGTGTGCTGGTATGAAAATCCATATCGCTTTGACTTCACTTTTTCCAAACTAAATTAGCAAGTGTTGTTGTGTTCGAAAATGAACGTGTCTAATCGTAAATCTTATGCACCTTGTTCCATAGGATAACTGAAGCAAGATGATGATCTAATATTAGGTGAGGTACTTCTGGGTTTTAGACTGAACGGTGAATGACTTCTGAAATATATGCAAAGAAACCTTGAGCTGAACATCTTGTTTACTCTTCTAGCTAGATGTTGTGACAGAATATCCCTTTATGCCTCTCCTTTGAATTTCTGATCGAAAAAAAGGTTACTATTCCTATGGTCATTTTTCAACGCTTAAGATGGAAATGACCTTTGTTTGTTTTTACTGTTAGTTGATACACTTGTAACTTTCCGTTGTTTTATTGGATCGAATTGTTCGACCTCTACTGGCATATGGGCTCCTGTGCGGATGCCTCGATGTTGCCTGGATGTTGATTATGGTAATTTGCTTGGTTTTGGCTAGGAGAAGAATCCAAGACGCGCGTCTCGTCCTATTTGGGACTCTTTAGCTGGATGTGTTTGCACCTCAGTGAGTGATGTTGTTACCACTGAGACTCAAACCTCGAGGCATTATCCACTATGCTACGGAGTTACGATAGTTACTTCTTGTACAATGGGTATTAGTTATTACTATTAATTAGTATACTTGTTATTCTTCGTTGTTTTATTTGGTCGAATTGTTCGACCTCTATTTGTTTTGTTGACATTTTTATGTCTTTTTTGAGATGTTGCGGATAGTTAGTAGTTCACTTCCCCCCTCATACTACTAGAAGCGGATCAGTCTTTCTGTCAGTGCTAAGCAACTGTATCTACACTTTAATGACATGAAACTGTGAAAATGTGTATGTTGTGCCTTAGTTATCACTTTACTGGGTATTCTTTTTTGAATGGAGCCATCTATTTTCTCGTCGTAAAAACCTAAAGGAAATGTAGGGAGCTGACTTATCGACCTTCATAGATGAAATGAAGGGGTTCACAATCGAATTTACTATAAACTAAGGAAGTAATGACAAAACAATAAGACGGTATAGTTTGTCTCAAACAAGGAATAAAATAGATACATTGTTCAGTCAGTTCCAAAGAAAAATGTCCGCATCACGCTACTGTATGCATGGAGAAAAAGAAACTTATATACTCCTATAAACCCTTGCAGCATCTGAACGAGTGGATCAACTCCATTTGTTTTTATCAGTTTAGATGTACATGCCAAAATACATAGGGAGGACTCATCAACCTATACAGGGAAGGGCCACAAAACACTCCAAA